TTGATTGAACGTACTCCAATTACGTTCACAAGCCGAAGCGGAACACGTAAGACCCAAAACCTTTATTGCAAAGGACTTGAGTTCCGGAGCATCGTCTCCGTATTCCCCCCACCATGTAACTACATATGTTTATAAAAAAGTTAATAAGTAATGTAATTTATATAAAATAAAAACTATAACTATAATAACAAAACTACTTAATAATATACCCGGTGGACGTGTCTGATATGTCGATAAAGAACCTCTATATCCAAATAATCCTCTTTTTTCTTTGTAAGCAACGAGTTGATCTTCAATCTTCAAATAAACTGTCGTAACCTTCACGAGCCTTTCCATGACATCATACAATCCTCGCTTAATCTCCGGATGCTCGGAAACATTGAGACTCCATCGATATTGTGGATTTAAGTAGTAGGCAGCCGCATGCAAATCACGATGCATTTGCAACCAGTTGTAAATGATGGATCAACACTTCCACCTCTGTTGTAGTATGCCCCACTTGCTACATTTTCTTCAAAGGCTGTTCGAGAAGATAATTTAGTAGCCTGAAATGCTTTCAAAAACTGAAGCATTTCCTCTTTCACTATTTCTGGAACATTAGGACAAGGCTCTACATCTTGGTCTGTACAAGCAAGATGTTGTTTCACTCTCTGAACCCCTCCCTTAATGATTTTGCTACAATAGTTACATTTTAGATATTTGTATGCCTTTTTTGGACCCTCTACCATTACTTCTTCACTATGACCCCAAGCAGGGTCCGACCTTCCACCTTTACTGGACATCCTACTGTAAATAGAATGCAGCAAAATCAGATCAGAAGAAGTGCAGAAACTAAGTTACACAGTTGACAACTTGGATACATAACAGTTGACAGTCCCAAAGAGATCATTTGCTTAACAAAATAATAATAATAATAATTACAAAATGCTTTCGATAGAAGAATAAGAAAATTAACCTTGAATATGAGCAGACCTTCGATCGACCAAAAGAAGTGCAGAACCGATTCAACCGAAGAAGTCAGTGGGATGCGATTTTGAGATGAAGAGGAAGTCGGCGATTTAGAATGAGCGAATGAGTGAATTAGGTCAATAAATGAATCGGGTTTCCAGT